TTTATTATCCATTCTCCATTAACTATGGTGGCCATGATTTCCAACAGCGTGGAGGGAGGAGATAATACTATGGAAGCTTAAACTTATTTAGGAGGCAACTTGAAAGGAGTATGGAGGAGACTTGAGCCTTGGGCTAGCACTTGAAGACCATAAGGGAGTGATGTTCCATTTATCTTTTTAATTCAAGGACTTGAAATTATTTAGTTTTAAATAATTTTAAGTTGTAATTTTGTGAGACAATTTAGTTCTAAGTTGTCACTTTTATTCTTGGATTGGATTGATATTTGGATTTTATGTGTGTTGAGACACTTGTTGGAATTTATGTTTAGGACCTTTGCATTGTTAATTGAATTTATAATTGAGTTTTCATTATGAATTTAATTATCAATGTGGTTTGAATTGCAAAATTTGGGTTCTTTTGCCTCTTAATTGTTTAATTAAGTTGGTTAATTGTCTAATTGTTTAATTGGATAATTTCAAACATAATTTCCAAAATTAATTGAGTTATTTTTTATTGGTTTTAATAAGCTTAATCAACCAACCTTATACTGTTATGAGTTCTCTAATAGTTTAAGGGTTTTTGAAATTGAGGGTTCCCTTTGTTTCAAGTAGGTAATTAAGTTTATTAATTCCACTCTCTTATTACTTCTCTTTGGTCTAATTAACTGATTAAGGTTATGAAGGTTAAATCCATGCAAATCCTAAGTTGTCCCCTCTACCTCACCGAAGAGCAACTTCTCAATTTTCACTTGTTAATTTTCTTTGCTCTTTAGTCAATTTTCTTCATTTATCATTTTAATTTTTTATCTTCAAACAAAAAATCCCCCCAAAATTTGCATTGCATTCATTTAGTTTAATTTAATTTCCATATAGATTTTAGGACATTTGTATCTTTCATTTAGAATTAGAATTTTGCATTTTACTTTAGGTCCAATTTATTGCATTTTTTTATCACCTGAATTTTTATCTAAAGAAACCCATAAATTGCTCTTTGGAAGTAATGACCTAGGTCGATCCTAAACTACAAATTAATTGAGACCTAGTTTAATTGAGTGCTTTAACGACAGAGGCATCATCAGTAGTCATTGTAATAGTTATAAATATTAAAAGTTTCATCAAATGGTACTTCTGACTAATACACTTGATTAATAAGGTATTTTAAAAAAGACGACACATATTTATTATAAATAAATAATTTAACTAATTTTTTTAATCTACTCAAATTAATTCGTTAATTTTTATATTAAAGACTGAAAGTAGTAATAATTAATAAATAATTTAAACGGAACAAACTCTGAACTGGTGCCTTTCACCCCAAGAACATTAAAAGATAGGCATGGATAAGGCACGTACCTTGAGCCACACCTCCGTGTTGCTTGGCAAATTAGACAACATGGGGACCTAAGCGTCGTTTTTTTTTCCGTAGTGCGTCCGTATCCTGAGCCAGCCCTTATATCACGGGAAACTCAATAGGCCCAAACTAATCCGTATTAGAAATATAATAGGAACCATTAAGATTAGTATCCTTAGCCCTTAGGGTGCTGTATTCCCACATCTCAAACTCAACACTCGTGGTTAAACTGGAATGACTCATGCCATTCGATCCAACCTGTCGGGTTTTTTTATATAACATGTAAATATTTTTTTCCTATACGAGATACAAGATTTTGTTTGTAAAAATTTTTTTTGCATATCTTATTCAAGAAGTAACTTCACCCATTTTGAAAAAAAAAAAATCATAAAAACAGACCATAGAAATTATAAAATCACAAATCAGGACCTATTACAATATTTGTATATTGACTTGCAAATAACAATAAATTTTTAACAAAATACCTGACATGCAATTTCACAATTTTCACGGTTTTTTCCTAGTTTTCCTACCATTTTGTTGTTTTTCTATAACAAATCATTTCGTGGCAAAAAAAAAAGCATTTAAAGTGTTTATTGTTTCGTTTTTATTTTTACATATTATCCTCATCTATTTTTAAAATAATTTTCAAAATTATCCCCTTAAAAATTTTGGTATAACATTTAAATTGATGACCTCCTATTCTTCATATAAGAGCTAGTTTGACTTTAAATTTGATTGTAAATATAAAACCTCAATCTACTTTGTCTCTCATATTTATTTATTTATTTCAGAATAGTCCTTGTAGTAATTGCACATATAAAAAATTTTATTCAATGGTAATTCTAGCTAATACATATTATTAGTAAAGGTATTCTAGAAAAATAACACCTATTTATTAGAAATAGCTAGCTTAACAAACTTTCTTAATCTACTCAAATTAGTCAACTAGCTCTTATATTAAAGACCAGATGTAGTAGATAATTAACAAAATTAAAACAAAATAGATGAATAATGAGCACGCAACAATATATTACCTTTATTCTTTGATGTAAGAGCTAGTTTGACTTTCAATTTGGTCTTAAATATAAGACACTAATCTACTTATCTCTCATATTGTTTATTTTTTTAAGATAGTCATTGTAATAGTTATAAATGTTAAAAGTTTCGTCAAATAGTAGTTCTAAGTAATACACTTGATTAATAAGGGTATTTTAAAAAAAACGATACATATTTATTACAAATAACTAATTTAACTAATTTTCTTAATCTACTCAAATTAATTTGCTAGTTTTTATATTAAAGACTGAAAGTAGTAATAATTAATAAATAATTTAAACGGAACAAACTCTGAACTGGTGCCTTTCACCCCAACAACATTAAAAGATAAGCATGGATAGGGCGCGTACCTTGAGCCACACCTCCGTGTTGCTTGGCAAATCAGGAAGATTCCATTTGTGAATTGGAGTGGGTAGCTTATACCAAGGAGAGAAATTTATTTTTAGTAGGATTCCAAACTAAGTTTAAAAAAAAAAAAATTACTTGTAGTTTTTTTAACTCAATTAAAATTTAATATTTGAATTTTAACTCAATGCAAGATGGTCTGTATAGCTTTGATTTAATTGAAACTCAATATCTGAATTTTGATTTGATATGATTCTATCCTTATGATTTAATTAATTTAAAATGTTATAACTTTGATTAGATATAGTGCAGCCTATTAGGTTTTGATTCAGTATAACTAGGCCTATATAGTTTCATTTGCCATCTATCTTAGTTCTTATGATTTTAATAATTTAATCTTTGAATTTTGAATCGATACAACAAGTTGATCTATACTTTATAGGGGGAGAAAAGGGAAATGAGAAGCAAATAAAAAGATAGAGTGAATATACTTACATGGGCAAGGGAAAATACATGGGAAGGCAAAGGATTGAGATGGGTTGCCCAGGGAGGAGGCGAGTAACGCTTCTTGGCGAGGAAGTCAGAGTGGGATGCCTTGGAAGACTCTTCTGTGGCGCGTTTAGGTTCCATCGTAAACGGGTTCTTGGAATTCAAATGTCGTGGTACGGCTTGAGAGCTGGGAAATCACGCAAGGCCAGGCAATGAAGAGTCAAGAGATGAGGAGGGGTCCTGGAGATAAGGAGGGGTCCTCGCCAGTCAGTGTCCTATCAATCAAACTCCTTACTTTATAAACTTACCGACACATTAGTCTTTGTAAATTTGCGACACAGTGCATAATTATTCAATAATCACCATCAGTTTAGTTTCTAAGGTTTCATCTGTTACCAAATATTGAGAATGAGAGATGAGATTGAGATTGGGATGAAAAAAAGCTTTTTAAAAAGTATTTAATATGAGAAATTACTTATTATTTGAGATTGATATACCATTAAAAAAAAAGTGACATTCTCTTATTCCACATATATGAATTTAAATAATCTCAAATAACAAAAAATCACTTATATTGAGCACTGGTATATAATTCTTAATGCTTTCTATCAAGTGGGACCAAAGATTTCTGTGAATGGTCCCTTCATGCTGGATCATCATTTCCAATGGGGAAGGTAGCCGATCGCTATCACCAACGTGGACTTCGTTTGTCTGCTAGACTGGAATTTTAAGAGAATGACAGCATTGATATTAAGAGCAAGTTCTAAATTTACATTTGGTTAAAACAAAAACAAAAAAGGAACTCTCAGACAAAACGTCGGGATTGGCAAAGACGTCGTCGCCGTTCAAAGCAAATGACACGAAGACAGAGAGAGATCAGAGGGAGTGCAAGACGAAAGCAACTTGGCCAATAAGGCGTTCAATCCAAATTTTCAATATTAGTGATATTGAGCGATCGATCGGGATTAGGATTGCAATATTAAATAACTAGAAATATATAAATAAATTTATAAACCATTAAATTTTAATTTCAACCGTTTAAAACTAAAAGAGTGGAAAAAAATATTTTAATACAAATATACAGTTAATGAATTATAATAGCTTAACTTTGTCTATATTTATTATATACTACCTCTGATCCTAATTATAAGAGCCAGTTGATTAATTTGAGGAGATTAAAGAAGTCAGTTGAGTTAGTTATTTATCCTAAATAAGTGTTGTCTTTCCTAAAATATTCTTACTAATCAAGTGTATTGACTAGAACTATTATTGTTAAAAGGGCTATTTTGAAAAAAAAAGTATAAATATAAGAGACAAAATGGATTAGAGTCTTATATTTAGAATCAAAATAAAAATCAAACAGAATCTTATATTAAAGACCCGAGGTAGTAATATTATAATAATAGTTATAAAATATCAAATCTCTGATTCAAAAAAGATGGAGAGATCTCCACTCATCTTGATCCCCCAGAGAAGTGTTATTATGGCTCCATGACCCTGCTCTTATACATGTAATCTGAGTCCTTTTAGAAAGTAGAAACATTTTTTTTCCGTCGAAATCCCATTCATTTAATATCAACAAATCCCAACGAACTAATCTTTTAGGGAAGAACATCAATTGGCTTCATTGGAATCAAACAGAACCATGAACAACGAATTTAGGGGAAGATCACCAGGACTACTACCCCTGGCGAAAAGAAAATTTTAGCAATGAGGATAAAAAAAATTCAACCACAATTTTTTCCGGAGCAGAGCATTTGTGCTTGTCTGATTCAAAGATGATCAGTTAGAAACTGGTTGAAAAATTTTATTGCTTTTATAGTTCTTGCTTTCGAACTTGTACTCCAAGTTGGTGAGAAATGAGAAGGCAATATGGAACCAAGTTTTTTTGCTCCTGTCATATCACCCTAGACTATGAAGCAAAATAAAATAGATTATCAAAATATGATTGGAGAAGAAGAAAGCATGCTTGCCAGACCAACTGCATACTCAAGACTGGTCAAAATTTCACCCATCACCCATCTGCTCAATAAGATATAACAACACTTCTATCAGAGACTCTGTGGTGTGTAAAATCTAAAATGCTGAGGTTCCACCTCTTGACTTCCCCATCAGTACGTCCTTGGCTTCATTTATCTTTGAGGCAAGGTAATGGCTCCCGCCAGCATCAGGATGATTTGCCATCATCACTCTCCTGTGAGCCTCCTTAATCTTCTCCATCACCGTTCTCTCCCTGAAAGTGTTAATTAATTTGAGCTTCAATGTCAGTTGGCTCTAAATACACACAGTTTTTTTTGGGGGGGGGGGGGACAGTTCAATATTTTTCAGACAAAAACATTTGTTTTAAAAACAATTATGCACACCGCCAGTTAATTGTACATATTTGACAAATTCAGGGCCGCTCCAGAAAAAGTTCACATAATATAAATAAGGACAAAACTTAAGTTTATAAGTCAATTTATAAGTGTACACACATATTTATAACTAGCAATGGCAAAATAATAAGATCCGTGCGAAAATTTACAAATCCTAATTTACAATACAAGAGTTGATAGAAAAATTAACAAGTATTTATAAATGAATTTACAAGTGAACACACGCATTTCAACAACCAATAATAGCAAAATAATAAATGGGATTGAAAAATTTAAACACATGGATATAAGCAACTGAACCTGAGTTTTATTTTATAAATAAATAGTCCAGTTACTAAGTGGGTTATCATGAATAGTCTATGCAGACGAAAATATACCTGACTCCCAGAATCAATGCTGCCTCCCGTTTAGTCATAACCTTCTCAAAACCACCAGGATAAAATCTTCGGGCCCGTGGAGTTTTAGGCCAAGCTTTGAATGCTTGCCATTTACTAATCAAATATCTTCCCCCCAACGCAGCAGCTGCCACACTAGTACCCAGGACCAAAGGAGATGCCTATAGAAGTGGCACAATATAGAGGTTATTCATTCATAAGATCACACATGAACGGAAAAAATCATAATAATACTATAACTGAGCAAAAAGGTGTCAAGCTCAACGCATAAGGAATAATTAAGATCTTGTGCCTCTTTTAAGAGAAGAACTAGCATTGACTTCCCATAGTGTCAGCACAGCAATCTGTCTAGTTATAAACAAATAATGGTATTGTGATGATTTACTAAAGTGTAATCAGTAGTTTCTTTTCATTATAGCAATTCTAACAAATCAATTCGATAAAATTTATATGGATGTGCAAACTACTTTTAGAATGAACCATTTAGTGTTACATATCAAGAGGAAATAAAATGACATGAGGCATTTGATTGAAAACTTAGCAAACCTACGTTGAATATCAATATCAGTTTCTTTTTTCAGCAGAGTCTTATTAATAGTTGAAAAAAAAAATTCATCTTATTTTTAAATACAACTAAAACTTTGTTGACTGCTAAAACTATAAAGTATCATTCACCTGAGTTTTATGGCAAAAAAACTTAGGAAAAAGTAAAACATCCCCAACTCTAAAAACAAAAACAAAGTAAAGAGACGAAAATGAAATGGCCGCCATTTCTATACTTTGGTACAGTTGGAAGGGAAAAAAATGCTCGCAATTATCTAATCAACGTCATTAAAACCATGGAATTTGAATTTGGAATTTGAATAAGGAAAAGATTAAAATCAGTAGGACACACTTAAGAAATAGAATGAACCATTTAGTGTTATATATCAATATGAAATAAATGACATGAAGTATTCGATAGAAAACTTAGCAAGCCTAAGTTGAATATCAATGTCAGTTTCTTTTTTCAGCACAGTTTTATTAATAGTTAAAAAAAGTTCATCTTATTTTTAAACACAACTAAAAGTTCGTTGACTGCTAAAACTATAAAACTGTATCATTCACCCTAAATTTATGGCAAAAAAAACTTAGCAAAAGGTAAACCATAGGACATCCCCAACCCTAAAAACAAAAACAAAGTAAAGAGACGAAAATGAAATGGCTCCCATTTCCATTCTTTGGCAAAGCTCGAAGGAAAAAAAAAATGCCTGCAATGACCTAATCAACATCATTAAAACCATGAAATTTGAATTTGGAATTTGAATAGGGAAAAGATTAAAATCAGTGGGTGCACACTACACACTTAGGTCATAGAAGTTGGTTTGCTCTCTCCTACTTTTGAGACAGGGTTTTAGCACGACATGCCAAGCCCAAATGCTAAATTAAATTAAGCCACTACTGTTCATATAAATAGCAATATAAAGCATACATGTTTAAGTTATATAAATTAAAGCGCAGTCAAGCAACTTCTTAGTTTCAGGTGGCCAATCATGCAAAAGTTCTGCTAAACGAACAAGCTCCTGTGGTCCCTGCCTCATTGACATATTCATCTGGTGATTATCGAAAAGAAAAAACAAGTGCAGCCAAAATCAACAATATTTGTCATAAATGGAAGTTTCATATTAGAGTTAGGTGTGGCTCAAAACATAAAAATTGAATCAATGACGAAGCCCAAAAACTTGAATAGTTCGATATAGCACCCATGAAAGTAATCAGGTTCTATCAGTATAATTACTATTTATGTCAAAGAAAAAATTGAGGCAGGTCAATTGTTCTCATTGCATTGCTGTAACCCGCCATTTGCACATCAGAATGATGCATAAACACATTATTATTATGGTTCCGACCATCTACAAACTCCGTAGTTCATGGAAGGGGACAACGATTTCAGGTTTCCCCCCCCCCCCCCTTTCTATGGGAAAACAAGATTTAGAGAATACTGAATACTAGATATACATATGAGTGAAAGGGGTAATATATTCTAAATAACACTGAAGCCGCTAGAACCAATAAACAGTCTGACGGAATATTAGGAAATATTTACTTCGCATATTTAGCAAATTATTTTCAGAACAGTAAAGACACACTTCTTCGGAAAATTAATCTGTTTCTAGGGCTCACTTTTTCTCTGTGCAACAACCCGAGTTAATACCACAACCTATACATTCCATCACGCCAACTCATAATGAACCTGAGATTTCCAAGCCACCATCTTAGACATTCGAAATCCATAACCAATTGAAAACCAAGTTAAAAAGACAGCTTATTTCGTAGGATTATGCAAATGACGAGCCATTATTTAAAAACGATAGACGCCCATCTCTCAAGCTTTTATCTAATTTTAGCATTCAAGAACATGCGAAACTTCTGTCACCAAATACCTTGTTCTCAGGAAACAGAAAACCGAAGGGAAAAAAACTAGAGAAAAGAAAAGTTACCATCGTTATATCCCGGAAACTCTCGCAATGAATCCAACCAAGAAGCACGCTTTGTAGGAAAGGAGATCCTGATGGCTCTATGAAAATAAAGCTGATTTATGAAGTTCCAGAGTGCTGCGGTAGAACTTGCAGAAGCAGAAAATTTTGGAAAGTAGGAAGGAAAGGGAGATATTTATACATGAATAAGTCATGCAGATCACAGGCTCTGGTAAGCATGCCATTCCCAACTTGAGCTTCAAGAAACTCCTTGAACCGCAAATGAAGAACAAATTTGAGGCGGCGACAATTTCCTGAACAGAAAATTCTGGAAGAAATCTTATTTTATTCCATGCTCCATTGAATATATGGTCCAGTGATTTGTTTATGGGAGCCCACCAAAAATTGGGTTATCTCAGCTCACTTATATTACTTGGGCCGTCAGGTGCTGGTCTCAGGCCCACATCCCGCACCAAGAACTCTATAACAGCCGCCGCCGCCGCCATTGCTAGTGTCTTGAGTTTTATTGGTTCTCTGTGTTGATCCTAATGGAAAAGAATTAAGTCATAGTTCTCAAGGTTATGAGTTCCAGTCCTGCTGCTATATGAAAATTGTATTGTAGGCGATTTGTAAGTACTACTGTAAATGCTTTATAAATCTAGAGGAATGTCTTGGTTTTGATGAACTCTTAAAACCAATTTACCTAAATTTTTTTATATAAAAAAAATTCTTTGTTTTTTTCTTAGAATGATATTTAAGTCCTTATAGATGAATTTTATGACAACCATGTCCCAAAATATTTGCAGGAAAAATGAGTAGTTGCAAATGGATTGAGATGGTTATAGAAATAAATGTTATCAAAATTATTTAAAAAAATTACAATGCGTCTCAAAGTATGATAGATTTTCACTACTTTGCAATTGTAACCATATTGGGCGAATTCAGAACTATGCTTTACCTTCATTTGTTGGTCAAGCCTCCTTAAAATTGTCACATGAGAGATCATACTATATAATACTCCCTGGCCTGACTTAGAGATGGAACAAAGCTTAGGAATCCGTCTTTCTTTTTTAGGCCACTTACTCGAGATCTGCGTTAACAATTATTAAATTGTCTAAACCATAATTATGTCCTATGCTTTGGGCCTTAATTAGCCTTAACCACCCCTTTTTTTTTTTGTTCAAAGCATGCGTTGACCGGATCCTCTTGGTAGGTCAAGGCCTGCATATTGTTTTATTACATTGTTATTATAAAAATAATACAAGGGGGGTGGGGAACAACCATGCACATGCTGAATTAATCACATGGGGCTTAAAATATGATTTTTATGTTTACTTCATGACCTACAAGTAACAACAAAATACAGTCACAACATTTTGCAATGCTCATTTGGTTTATAGAAAATCCTTTACTTATATAAATGAGTACTCTTCTTTTTTCACATTATATATGAAATTCAATTATGACATTTGCATTCGAACGAGTGTGGTTGAGAAATATAATTATATTGGTAATCTGGGTGGAATAAATTTGGAAAGAAAAAAAAAAGAAATAATCTCATCCACAGGCACATGTATAAGCATGACCTCTATTTAATTTTAAAGACTAACCTAAAAGTTTTAATTCCACAAAAAGGGTAACAAATCTATATGATTTTACAATGTAAAAATCATAGGTGGTTATAGTATATTTATTTACGCTAAATAATAGAAAACCATATACTTTGGTCATTATGTGATATAATATAATATAATATTATTAAACAAGGGATAAAAGATAATTATTGGGACATAATTTTTCAGTAGACATGCTTTTATTTATAAGACACATTTAGGTGTCTGAAATTTCAACAAATTTTTTATCCCTTTTTTTTTTGTGCGTATAAAATTTTTATCCTGTTAACTACATACTATATTACTGCAATGACTAACTAACTCTACATCGCTCTTTAAGTCTTAGCAGCTTTTAACTACTCACTCTCTCCATCCATAAATAGCAATATTTTTGGGAAAAAATATTTTTACATATTTATTATCTTTAATCAATTTTTTCAATTATTTGTATCTTATACATAGGATAAGAGAGAGTATTATTTAGAAAAATTTCTCAAATTTAATAATTGTAGTTATTGGCCAAATATTTTTATATCAATTAATCGTAGTATTAATGATGGTAGTTGACCGGATTCGTACAAGTCAAGGCCTGCAAATTATTTTATCCTGGCCAGCGTATAGGGATTATCTCAACGTTTTGACTTGAATAATTGAAACCGTCAAGCGCGCAACGTTTCATAAGGGGCTACTCCAAGTCTCCAACTTGTTCACGGGGCAGAGAAAGATCGCTTGGAGCAAAACACAAGACATTCTCCTGTCTTGACCAAACTGCTAAAGTTTCTCACCGTACTACCCAGTTGTCCCCCATTTCACTTGCCAAATAAAAGCATAAAATAATACAAAAATCCAAAGCTTTTCAATGCCGTCCCGCTGGGCCTAGAGAAATAAAGCAATAACCAATCACACGATGCCATGTCCAATTCCAATCCTTTTTTCTTCCGTTCACACTGGTCATGTGGAACTCTTCAAAGTCTTCTCCTTTCCGTCAGCCTCAGCCCCATTCTGTGTTGAATGTGTTCTTTCCCTCGTTCTTTTTCCTATTTACTGGTGCTTTCAACTTGCTTACTTCCTTCCTTTTTGAGATTTCTCTACCCTTCAGGAGAATTTCATCTTCGTTCGTGACATGATCGCCTAGCTTCCTTGACTTTGAATGGGGAGATTCCGGCACTGCCGGCTGTTGGTGAAGTTTTGAGAGTACATTGTCGGGAATTCAACTTCACCACAGGTCTTTCTCTTTCTGGCGTTTCCATTTTCTGGTACTTATCTTCATCTGTTATTACTTGTTTATAGCCCATTATATTGTCTTGCTACTTTGTGCTTCTGTTCTTCCTCTGGTTCTTTGCCATTTTATTCATTATGTTTTATCACGTTCAGTACTGTATGTGTTCGCCCTGGAAACACACATATAGAGGCAGGTAAACTTCGAAAATTGCAAATTTTCGAACATGAAATAGGATTAAATTAATGACACTATTCATTAGTTTGAGAAAGTGAGGGTGTGAATTCATTTGCTGTGGGAATATCGAATAATGATGGAGTATGGAGAATTGAGGATATAGGGCTCCAATGCACAACTTCTGAATCCGTTTACCCCTTATGAGCTGTGAAATTCGAAATCGGCGCCTGGACGTACTGTTACTGATATTAGGATAGTGGCATTCCGGGAGTCTTGCTTATTGGGTTTGACGTTGTGGTTCAAAAAACTAGCATGAATGAAAAACTTCAAAGTTATGGCTGGTTTCTTGAACTATCGAGAGTCAACTAACTACCAGTATATACAAAGTACAAGATTGGATAGTGGAAATCTTATTGTATCAATGTTTTGAATAACGGGAACAGAAAGATCATGAAATGTCGCGAATTCATAAAAGGGCAGGTTTCATATGGCTTTGTCACTCTTTGTCTTTCATGCCACGTTGTCTTCTGCATACTATTTCATTTCCATTCTTTTCAAGTTTGATTAGATACGTTTTGATTTTGGAATCACTGACATGGTATATAAATATCTATATTGTATGTTTTTTTTAATTTTGTATAACATTACAGAATTTCTTGGAAAAGATGGCGGATTTGGAAAAAGATGAGGTGCCAATGCTGTCGGAGACAGAACAACCGTCAGTTGAATTTGGGGATTCTAAATTACGAAGGCTTGTATCGAGGACACGAAGTGCCTCAATATCTATTCCTATGAGCTCCATGGAGCCATATGAGAGAGCAACTAGTCTTGTGGGACATACTGGTCCGCTGAGGAGTGAGAGGAAAACCCCCTTTGTGCAGATGAGTGGTCCTCTATATGTTACCAACAGACATGGGAGTCTTTCCCGACAGAACGTCAATGCCACAGGGAACAAAACAGTAGAAGGCATGACAGAAAAATTTGCTTTGCATGGAAGTGTTGGTAATGATTGGCAGAACAATTATGCCCACAAAAATGAACACTTACTGAGGTCTGGGCAATTGGGAATGTGTAATGATCCTTATTGTACAACTTGCCCCACTTACTTCAAGACCTCTCAGCAAAGGAACCCTAAGGCTTCTGGTTTATTTGATCCCAAGGTGTTTTTTCTTCCTTGAATATACTTTTTTTTCCGATTTAAGAGAACATCTGTTACTATATTTTGAGGTTGCCTTTGATTATATAACTCATGCATTGCCAAACACTTAATTAGGGTACATTTCTTCACACCGTTCATATTTTTTGGCCAATACAAAACATAAATATTAGACATCTCATTGAATTATATTGTACCTCTGTGATTTCTATACTGGCCTGTATTTTATACTGTCTGTATACTGTTCCATTGTACTTTAATATGTTTCTTACAATTCTGATTATATTATTGTGGTTTCTTGACTAAGGTTATAGTGGTTTTAATTGAAAGATCATTGTTTCAAAATTTCGATTGCTCATCACTCACAGCTATGTACTGGAGAAAGGATTTCAGGATTAAACATGTTGCTTGATTGAACTCAAGCTCTAAAATTTGTTTACTATTCAGATTTGACTTATCATTGGTTGCGATTGTTGTAGAGAAGTCAAAAGATAAAGAAAAAAGCTGTAAGTATGACCAAATTCATAAATGATCTGAAAGAATTGTTGTGAGAGCATTAATTCATGTTACGTTTTCTTTGCATGTGTATGAACTCTTCAGTTATCAATAAGACATGTTAGCATCCCCCCACTTTTCCTTTCACCCTAAGCAAGGAGGGGAAGGAAAAAAAGAAAGAAAGAAAGAAATTCTATTACTGTTTTTGTTACACATGTCTACCTGTTTCTCCACTACTTATTTTCTGAAGGCCACTATGGTAAACTTTGTCATATTGTTATGCTTGATCTTCCTCTAGACCGATTCCATTTCTTTCCGTTGATATGTTATCATCAAGAATCACTGAGACATGTTATCTTAGTTACTTAGTGTGCCTTTTATCTTTGAATGCCTACAGTTCCACAATGCTCTCTATGGAGATGCTAAGGGTTGTGCAAGAAGATTTATTTCTTTTCTGTCTTCATATGTTCCTGGAGTTATGAATCCTCATGCTAAAGTCGTACAGCGTTGGAACAAATTTTTTGCCATTTCTTGCTTAGTGGCAATTTTTGTGGATCCATTATTTTTCTTCTTGCTCGGTGTAAAAAAGGTACAAATGTTTCCCTTTTATTATTTAAAGAAGATTCTGTGCCTGTTGTAGTTACTAATCTTTACCTTTTCTTCATAAGAACTATATAAATGAGATTGAAATGCTTTGAGACCCAAGATACTTCTTTAACTGCCACTTAGTTGATATATTCTTGGGAAAGCGCTGAATTGTTTTTCTCATTTTATTTTTTGCTGTTAACTTCAATTCTTAGCTTCTCCTCAGCCTCGTGATATGTTATTGGGAAAGTGCTGCAGTATTTTTCTCATTTTATATTATGCCATTAACTTCAATCATGACTTCTTTTATGTTTGTGTATTTTGGACATGCTTAAGAAGAAAAATACTAGCAGCCGTGGCCAGTTTGTGTTTATATTTATATGGTGGGTACTGACTATAGCTTATAGTCGTTGCCCTGTTGACAACAAGCTAAGACAGAACCTTGGCCATAAAAATTTGGAGAAGAAAAAGAAAAATTCCTGTGGCTTGAATTTAGTTGGGTTCCTGCATATGCTATGTTCTGGGAAGTGGACTCCGCTGGGGCTTTCTGTTTGATATCTGGTCAACAAGAGTTTGTGAAATGAGGACAAGTTGTGGTGGATATGCTGCAGGTTTCTTCATTTTTGTATTATATTCTGTTTAGAATTTATCAATTTAGCTAGAGCAGAGCATGCTTCTTTCCTGAGGTGTCATTTGGATGTGCTGCTCCAAACTCAGAGTTCTTTCCCACCAACATCGCAAAGCATAATGATACATTTTATTGCATGATATTTTCTTGTATGTTGTGTGGGGTCCACCTTCGTTTTTTCTACACTGGAAGATCTGGCCCAAGAAGAATTTTGTCGGCTGGCCAAAGAGGAAAATAAATAAAGTAAAAGAGAAAATTGCAATCAGCGCACAAAGAGAAAGGGGCTCCCTTTCCCTTCATGGTCTTGTCCTTCCAGCTGTTCCTCACATCCTTCAGGACCAGAGTGATATCAAGTTATTGACATTGTATTCCATCACCTGCAGCTGTCTCTGCTTAGCATGATGTGATTGTTATGTCACTTGGTTGTGCCTAAGAAGGCAGCTACCACCCCCCCCCCCTCGGGGTGATAAGAAGGCTGCTAGTTTGTGGGCTTGTATAATGACATCAAGGCATCATAAAGTAGCTTGCGTTAATAATGCCAATGTGTTTGATTTGCTTACAATAATTTTTCAATTCCCTGCATAATTTACTGAACTCGCTTGCTTGTTGTATGCAGATTGACAGATGTATTTTCATCGACTGGAAGTTGACATGGGCACTTGTATCTGTTAGATCCATGAATGATTTCGTACACTTCCTAAATATGCTTCTTCAGGTAACTTGCCGATAATTGTTTTATCAGGAAAAAATATTCCCATATATTTATGCAGTAATATTGTTGTGCCCTAGACATTAATGTTTTTCTGTAATACAAATGAAAAATAATCATTCCAAGTTGCCTCTTGACAGTTTAGGTTGGCTTATGTGGCTCCTGACTCTAGGGTGGTTGGTGCTGGTGATTTAGTTGACCATCCAAAGAAAATTGCTCTCCATTATTTGCAGCGTTTATTTCTTATTGACTTATTTGTTGTATTTCCACTTCCTCAGGTATTTATATGCCCCATTATCCTTTCCACCTCATGATAGCTGTTTTTTTTTTCTTTTTAAATCATCATAACTTGTTGTCTCAGTTGTCTATTGATATGTACCTCCTTTTTTTCCCGTGGTTCCCTTTTTCATTTGTTCTTTGGCACATTTATTATTCAGCATTGTTTTCCTTCTGTTCTAGCTTGGGTTCTATCATAATCCATCTTACGGAGATAGAAGTGAATATGGTTTATAAGTCGCAGGCAGGCCAAATTCCTTGTCATGACATATTTTAGTCAAAATTTTGCAGATAATGATATTGTTTGCCCTACCATATCACTTGGGTTCATCAGGAGCAAATTATGCTAAGAATCTTCTACGTCTAGCTGTCCTTGTTCAGTATGTTCCCAGATTGTGCAGGTTTCTGCCTCTTCTAATTGGTCAGTCTCCAAGTGGTTTCATATTTGAGTCAGCATGGGCAAATTTCTTTATAAATCTTCTCGCCTATATGCTATCTGGCCATGTTGTTGGGTCTTGCTGGTATCTCTTTGGTCTACAGGTCAGTGGATATTGTTTCATGGATAGAAACGGAAGATTTATACTGTTATTTTTAGCTTGTAGGAATTTTGAACAACATTTTTTTAAATAAAAAGTACCTTCCACGCTTACTATGCACTTATAAAAAATTTCACTTGCATGGATAATTTGGTAATCCATGTGTAACTATCACTAAACCTGTGTAGAGTAAGAAACTTGATTCACTTGAATGCATCCAATTTCTATGTGATTATATATAACTTCGCGATAAATGAAGTGTAACTATGGCTTAGCAGACGTGGTTTGTTGTTTTTTGACACGCATAATGAAGTTCAACTATTTCATCTTTGTTTCCTTTGATGCTTAATGAAGCTTAAAGTGTGAAAGAAATAGCGGTATTGTTGATGTTGTTTAGTATTCAAAAATTGACATACCCCTTTTCTTCCTTTTTCTTCATGCCAGAGGGTCAATCAATGTCTTCGAAATTTCTGCCATAAGGAGGAATTTGCTCAGTGCATGCAATTGATTGATTGTGGGCATGGTCATAGAGAAACCCATCAGTCTTCTCTTTTGCTCAATGAAACCAATCATTTTAAACAGACTTGGTTAGATAGTCCTGGTGTAGGCAGTTGTTTCAAAGCCTCAGAAGATGAAGGTTTTCAGTATGGGATCTATGAGAAAGCTGTTAACCTTGTTACAGAACACAGTGTGGTCACGAGATATGTGTATTCATTGTTTTGGGGATTCCAGGTGTGCCTTCCCACTCTATATTCAGTAGTTATGTATCATTTTCCGAAATTTGCATGCATACATAGAAGCATGTTTATTTTGTAGGACTCCTTAAGGAGCTATGGTTCGCGAAATTATCAACATAGATGTTAATACAGTTATGTGAAAATATGTTCATGTTATTTTAGTATCCAAGAAGTGTTAAATAGTAAAACCTACGCTTGCTGACAAATCAGAGGTGTAGATTGTTAGTGCTTAGAACCTGTTAGTGTTGAAATTATGAATATGTTTCATATGCCTAAATAATTTTAATTAATATCATATATAAATGAAATAACTAGGAAATGTACGTTTAATTATGTTATAAGATATTACACACACACACACACGCATGCATATATGCATATTGGGGGAAGGGGGTCTTGGGGTGTGGTAAGGGGGCCAAAACTCCTACGGCTCCCTTCAGTGATCAAAATGGGTGGGGTGCTTGCATGGGGGCTGCCCCTACCCCATGCCTCTCTCTTCCTTCATCCCCACATGCCACATAATAAAGATAATGTATGGAAATAAAGATAAAAAGAAAAAAAGCTGACCATGATGTTAAAATCCAAGTGATAATATGAATAAGCTCATAATGATCCCATAATCACATGCCTCCAAATCTCCCTTTTCAAGCTGGACATAGCTTGGGGCTCTTACTGCCAATCTTCATCATATTGATATCTTGACCATTGGGCTGTTATAATCTCACATTAAAATGAACAAAAAGTGCATCTGAGCAATGCAATCTTTGAAGTTTTACGCCTTTGTGATCTTTATGCAGCAAATCAGTACTCTGGCTGGGAACTTAGTCCCTAGCTATTTTGTTTGGGAAGTCCTTTTTACAATGGGCATCATAGGACTGGGACTCTTGCTTTTTGCTCTTCTCATTGGACATATACAGAACTTCCTTCAGGCTCTTGGACGGAGGTAGAACTCACTATGTGTTACAGGGTTAAGATGCAAATTTGCCTAAGAAGTTTTCACTCAAGAGCGCTGGACACCTGGAAGTTTTTTGGGTGCAAATTTGCGCTAAAAGTTTAAGATTATAGCTACAATCTTAAACTTTTGGTGCAAATTTGCGCACAAAGAATTTCCCGATTCCCAATGCTCCTGAATGAAAATGTTTAGGATAAATTTGCACTTTAACCCTGTGTTATATGCAAATCCTCTTAATTGAGACTCTATGTTCTGTTCATACAATTAACTACTGCTGGCTAGTGAATTCCTCTTAATTTCTGTTTCTATCTAAATCAGACTCTGCATTGAAGCATCTCTATTAGTTCTAGAAAATGCTATGATGTCCTAACTTGAAATGGGAGCGCATAGTAGTTTTGTTGAGGGAATTATACTTTTCCTAGATTCTCTTCCCAGAAAGTATTTGGATTGAGTTAGTAGCATCTTCTATCCAAAAAATTTTCCACTCTTTGAGAAACTGGCTAGATGGCTTGTTCAAACTCCAGTAATTCAGCAGCTCGTGTGCTAATTCTTTGAAAGGTATGGGTTATTAGGAAGATTTTGAAAATTTATTTCTTTTCTTATTTTTGTGGGGGAGACCAAGAAGGATGCTTGAAGAAGTTATAAAACAAGATAATATAGTGAATGAGATATCTGAGCAGTTGTTGATAAAGTCTAATAGCATCATGCAATCTATATGGCTAACCTTATATAGTGGTATAAGGCTATTGTTTTCTTGTTTTTGTGAATTCAGAAAGCATTATATTTTTTTTTTCCTCATCCCTTTTTTCCTCTCAGTTCCCCTTTGTAGTTTATCCAAAATCAATTATCATTGGGAAAACTGTTAAGTTTGCTTTAAAACAAATCCAAACAACCCTTAAAGGCCAAAATCAATTTTTAGCCCAAAATCGTGGTTTTGTTATGAGCCATTCATCACTAGCTTAACAAAATCTATTCTCAAGATCATAATTATAAATCAATTTTATTCAAAATCTATTCTTCTCATTACTAGTCCAAACAGGCCGAAGTTATTTTTCACAGTTAAATTTGTGAACATGTCATTGTCTTCTCTCTTCCTAAAACAAGTGGAGTTGCTGAAGTCATATATGACTGATGGGTGATGTCCATTTCCCAATCCCCTCTGTAGTCTCAATTGTTTCAAGGGGATGTTTGAATGAAACCAAACCGTAGTTTGGAGAATAGATTTTAGAGAATAACTTTTGAAAAAATAACCAAACCATGGTTTGGAGAATAGCTTTTAAAAAATAGTTTTTCAAAAAATAGATTTTGTGAAAAAAAATTATTTTGATAAAGTGAAAATGTTTGAGTGGTTGTTATAATGATCATTTCTTATGTATAAATTACTAAAAAAGACAGAAGTTAATATGATAATAATAGAAAAATTGATTTTAATTTATATTTTTGTTTGAAATTAAATAATAAATTGTATATAAAAAATATAATTAATTAATATTACCTCTCGTCCTTAATATAAAAGCTAATTGAGTATTCAATTTGATTCTGAATATAAGATCCCAATCTACTTTATCTCTCATATTTATCTATTTTTTATATCACAAACTATGGTTTTATACCTTCAAAAGCAAAAAAATTTCCCTTTATGAAAAACCATCGTTTTAGACCCCAAACCATGGTTTTCAATTCAAAAGTGATTTTGCCAAAAATCATAATGTTTGACTACATTTTTTCAAACCATGGTTTTTAATCAAAAAGTGATTTTACAAAATATTGACATATTTGGATGGTTGGATCCCCAAACCATGGTCTCAATTCCGTCTCAATCCCAAACTGTTGTTTTACTTGTTACCCAAACAGGCCTCAATTCCTTTTTCATTTGTTTTTCCCTCTTTTGTTGCCAAGTAGAGAAATTCTTGTTTGTAATGCTGTGCATACAAAATTGGAAAGGGTCATGTAAAATTATTGTGAATACAAAAGAAATTAGTAGACCTGGTCTACAAAAAGACTTTGTATAGATTCTGCAATATGGTAATGCTCTTTTTCTTTCTTTTTTTTTCCCCTCTCGCTATAATTCTTTGTTGGGAAATTTATAAAACTCCTTTACTATTATTTATTATTTACATTTATTATTTCAAATTATGTTCTGAAACAAATCTAATATTGTATCTCTCACATCATAAACTCTTCATTACTAACATATAAAGCACTGGGGTCCCAAAAATAATTGAGCCGTGTCACGTTTAATGCACTTCGAGCACTTGTGTCAAGGACTTTGGGATGCGTCAAATTACAGCCGCATGACATGAATGCCTCTTAAGTTCAACTTCAAGTTTCTTGGATATATACCATGTTGGTTCAGTGATAATGGAAGAAACCGCAAGAGTGTTGAATGGCACATTTTAAGCAAAAGGAGTAGCAACTGATTTTGGCTAGACACAGAGTAAACTGAAATTTATACTCTTCCCACTCGCAAGATTTACCCACTTAGGTTTGGGTACTGAGATTTTATGCGTATTTATAGGGTCTGGGCTTAGTTAGGATAATACCTCTTCCACTGGCCTTTTTTGTGCGTGTGGGTGATTGATAGATGCATTTTTAGTTATATTAATTATATTAATTTAATACATCGGAAAAAGAAAAAGAAATTACCATTCACATAACACTATATTGCTTTTAAATTATATTGAAAATTGTTTGACACTTTTTTTCCCCTTATTTCATATGAATCATTTTATTTAAATGAGTCTTGTCTTGATAAATATTTGTTCATTTCAAATATTTTTTTGGGTACATGGATCTGCGTTCAAAGGTTTATGGATCAATGGTGATAAGGAATTTTTTACCCACTATAGTACCCAATCTAGATCCTACCCGTCGTGGTTTCTAGTCAAGTTCAGATGTATGCATGATTATATTATGCCTGCTTTATTTTCTTCCATCCCTTTTGTAGGAGGCTAGAAATGTCACTTAGACGTCGTGATGTGCAGCAATGGATGAGCCACCGGCGCTTGCCTGAAGATCTAAGAAGGTATCCATTTTCTTCATCATTTCAGATTGACAAAAAACGTCATTAATTTAAGTTGTTGCTTGCTAATTCTGGACCCTTTCCCAAAACTCTGCTTGACAATGTAAATAATGGGTGCATAAACAACATTTTTTATGGATAAGAAATGTTATGGCCAAGATCCATTGAATAAACAACTGAAAATTCAAGTACACATTTAAAACAAAATTTCTTCCAGTATCTATGTCTGTCTGCCAAATGCTGTTAAGTACTTGCCTATGTAGTTTGTTAAATATGATTAATCACTGTGTTATGTAGATTAGTAATGTGTTTATGGGTTAAAGTGTATCGAATACTCTAGAGTATTTTGTGGTGCATCCAACACCCTGAAGTAGTTTTTTAAGTGCATTCAGTACCAAGGCAAAAAGAGAAATATGGACGCATCTGAAAAATACTTCAAAGTGCTGGATGCATCACAAAATATGTTAGGATGCTAGATACATCTAAGAAAATGCTTCGAAATACTGAATACACCTTAACCTTATATTTATTGTCATTGATAACATACTCAAACAGTGAATGTGAAATAATAGTTGAGACTTGAGAACAACAACAACAACAAGCCTTATTCTACTAGATGGGGTCAGCTACATGAATCACACGACGCCATCGTGCTCTGTCAACAACCCAGTCCTTAGATATGTTATTGACTAAGAGGTCTCGTTCAATGACTTCATTAAGCGTTCTTCTTGGTCTTCCTCTATTTCTTTTTATGGGACTCCATCTTGTCTGATCCACCCTTCTCACCGGGGCCTCCAATGGCCTTCTCTGCATATGTCCAAACCATCTTAAGCGATTTTCAACCATTTTCTCTTGGATAGGTGCCACAACGACTCTTACTCTGATATTTTCATTTCGAATCCTATCTTTTCTTGTATAACCACACATCCATCTCAACATCCTCATTTCTGCTACCCCAACTTTGTGCTCTTGTTTTCCTTTTATTACCCAACATTCACTACCGTATAACATAGCTGGTCTTATAGCAGTCCGATAAAATTTTCCTTTAAGTTTCTCAGGTACCTTATCACAAATAACTCCGGTAGCTTTCCTCCACTTTAACTAGCCAGTTTGTATTCTATGAGAAACGTCTCTATTAATTTCCCCATCCTCCTGTATAATGGATCCTAGGTATTTAAACTTTGATACTTGAGGAATGATTTGCTTCCCCATCTTCACCTCCAAATCCCTATTGTCTTGCCTCCCCCCAAAATCACAATGCATATATTCTGTTTTGTTCCTACTCAAGCGGAAACCTTTCGACTCCAAAGTTCTTCTCCATAACTCTAATCTAGTGTTAATCTCTTCTTTTGATTCCGCCATAGAACTATATCATCCGCGAAAAGCATGGACTTAGGAATTCTTTCTTGAATAGGTTCAGTTAGAACATCCAGAACAATGTTGAACAAGTACGGACTCAAAGAGGATCCTTGATATAGGCCAATCTGAATAGGAAAGTCCTTTGTCTCACCTCCAGGCGTCCTTACACTGGTAGTTACCCCCTCATACATATCTTGTATGGCTTTGATATAAGCAACCGTACGCCTTTCTTTTCCAAGGCCTTCCACATTACTTCTCTTGGCACACGATCATAAGCTTTTTCTAGGTCAATAAAAACCATATGTAAATCCCTTCTTTTACTTCTATATCTTTCCAATAACCCTCTTAGTAAATAGATTGCTTCCGATGTGGATCTCCCTGGCATAAATCCAAATTGGTTTTCTGAAATAGACTTGACAACAACCTAGCAAAACTATTATTGTGCAATTAATTTCCTTTTTTATCACACTGAGTAATCAACAATGATTTACTTTACCATTTATTCATCCGCGATCATGTTGTTGGCTGTTTTATATTCCTGTTTTCTGTTTTGCTTTCCTGTTCTGCCTTCGTTTTTGCTTAGTTTTAGCAGTTGCTTATTTTACTGGGGATCACCTCATATTTTAACTTCCCATTGTATTTTGCCAGTCAATTTTCTAAGTTCTTTTTACCTTGTACCCTAATTTAGACTATAAATAAAAGATGTCAGAGAAGTCAAACTCTGACCTATTCAATCAAAGTGAACCCATATATCGTACTTTTCTAAATTATTTTAACATTACTTGTATGCATTGCAATTATTTTTGTCTCCTGAATTACATTCGATCTCCATCAAGGGTGTTGACATTATCATTGTCGATACGCCCACTGTTGATTTTTCCTTACTAAAGCATAGTGATAACGATGAGTTCTTCGAATTTTGCATGTCAACTGCTTTATTTATCTTCTCTTTTGGTAATCAAGATCATACAAATTTATGGATCATATTGTCAAGTAATACACAGTTCTACTCATATTATTGGTCTGTTATGTAGGAGAGTAATACTGGCTGAACGATATAATTGGGCTGCAACAAGAGGAGTAAATGAAGAAATGCTTCTGGAGAGTTTGCCGGAGGATCTTCAGAGAGATATTAGACGTCATCTCTTCAAATTTGTTAAGAAAGTGAGCACATGACTATCTGTTACTCAATTGCTGGTCATAACTTGCACCAGATTATCCTGCTTTAAACCCATTTATGCTTGTAGTTCAGATGTGTGGTTCGTTAAAAAACCTGCTTCCTTAGGTCTATCTTATCTCGTGTTTTTGCTTTGCCTCATCATATTCTAATTATCTAAAACATGCACAGGTTCGAATTTTTGCCTTGATGGATGAGCCTATCTTAGATGCCATTTGTGGGAGACTAAGACAAAAAACATACATCAAAGGAAGCAATATTTTGTATCATGGTGGTCTGATAGACAAAATGGCGTTCGTTGTGCGTGGAAGATTAGAGAGCACTGGAGATGATGGGATCAGGGTTCCCTTAGTTGAAGGGGATGTGTGTGGTGAAGAACTCTTGACATGGTGTCTCGAACATTGTTCTGTGAACAAAGGTATGGGAAAACCCGATGAAGACACCGTAGTCTTGTTAATTGATTTTAAGTGCTAACCTCATGGACTGAAAATCTAAAAGTTATGCTGTGAAGGCACGTGAATATTTTTATTATTACCCGTAACACTTCTTTTTCTTCACGCAAAACCCTAGACCCTTGAGCCTGAAATGTGGAAGCTCAATGTGTAATTGGGAGAATATGAGAATGCAATAGGTGAACTGTAGACTACTCATTAGTCATGGAGGCGCTGTACTAATATGCTTTAGAACACAATCAGCTCAAAAGCTTTAGTTGAGAGAAAAACGCATGAATGGTTTTATTATAATGTATAGCAATAAGAAATTAACATGGTATACCCTGCAGATGGTAAAAAAGTAAGGCTTCCTGGACAAAGATTGCTCAGCACCAGGACTGTACGTTGCTTAACAAATGTGGAGGCATTTTCACTCCGATATGCAGACCTTGAAGAAGTCACTAGCCTTTTTACAAGATTCCTAAGAAATGCGCGGGTTCAAGGAGCCATAAGGTGATCTTTCCTTCTATGGTTTGCCATTTGTCTTTCAATTTACAGTGAAGGCCAAGTATTATGCTCATCAGCATTAGTTAAAAATGATATACGATGCGACTTGACCTGTTTAAAATGTTGGGATCAATTATAGTTTACTAAGTGGTTTGCTTCATCACCAATAAATTTTTTTTTCCTTGCCATCCACCACCAATAGTTAACTATCTTGTGATATTATTCCATTTAATTTCAACAGAAATAACTGTGTAAGTAATGTGTAAGTAAATGTTAAAAGAAGAAACAGTTTATTATATATAGCATGTTTCCATTCGACCTTTGAACTCCTAATTCAATTTTTAATTGTTAGCATAGTCCGTACACCATGCATAAATGAAACATGGTTTCAGCAATATGATCATTTATTGGCTCAGCTCTGACAGCATTCAGTTTACATGTTGCCACATGGACTTGTTCCATGGTGAAAGACTTGTATTAGTCTGTCTCAAAATCCATGCCTGCGTATTTACTTGGTAATGGTTGATGATAGGTATGAATCGCCTTATTGGAGAAGCCTTGCAGCAACTCGCATTCAGGTTGCATGGAGATACAGGAAGAAACGTCTCAGTCGTGCTGATACCTCGCAGTCAAATCTTTAGCTAAAAGAGTAGGATTTACTCTTAACACATCTTGTAAACTCGACTATAGCTCGTATGATGTTCAGCTGCATATCATGTAAATTCGCTAGCTTGTTGCCACATGCATGTAGTTGCTGGATGTTGTATAATTAGACAAATGGAATTATTGCATGATTTAATTAGATTCAGTTTGTATGTATGATATCCAATATCTTGTAAAATTAACCCCTCCTTGCATGCCGTTGAGCGACTAGAGGCTGAAGTTCTTAATCGAAATTTATTTTTCAAAAATGTTGAAACCTGAATAAGACATGCTACAACAAAATATGATCGATCTGTTTAAATTGTTCAGTAAATGGTTAACACAATATAAAATTATCTGCAAAAAGAAAGAACACAGAGAGAATCAATGTAAAAAAGCGAGACTAAACGTCATCGTCAAAACAGAAGAATAAGCACTTTTACCACCGTATCAAAATTTATAACATGATTTTCCTTCTATAAATAACAAGGAGAATGCATTCAATTCAGCATGCAAAAATCTGAATGTTCATTCATCTGACACCCACCCAAAAAAAAAAAAAAAGCTGGCCTCAAAAAAAGGAGCAACCCCGGTCCCCTTGCGAGTTTATGAGAAATCGATGTGAATGAGAAAATCAACAATGAACAGACACCCCCCCCCCCCCGGGGGGAAAAAAAAGGAGCAAACCCAACCTCGGGGGGGCAGGGAACAAGGACAGCTTAGCATGTAACTGTTAGTGTGGTCCCCCTCGAACATTCGAAAGTTCCCGTGTAATCTCATCCAAAAGTCCATTAAGGATATGCTTTTCCACAACCCTTGTGACATCATATTTTTCGAGGAATGCAAATGTCTCCTGGTTCCAACCCAAGTCCCACATACAGTTCATGTCTGGATACTTGTTGTACACATCATTTTCAAGCATTGTAGGAAGATAGTCCTCAACATGAACAGGGGAAGTTCTGTTCCTGCCATAAAACTTTAGCTTTTCCATGTCTTCATTCAACTGCCTAACCAAATCATCTAATGATCCAATTTTGATGGGACTGATTGATGCCTTTAAGCAAGGATGGACTTTGAGTTCTTGACGTATCCCCTTGCGTTTCGTCACTTCATAGCTGCAGTCTAATATCAGCTTGCTGCCTCCTTCATCTTGATTGTCAACGACACCACAGCCTCGAAGAATGCTAAATGGAATGTTTAGCTTGAAAAGTGCTTCTGCTGTGTTGAGGAACGGTTGACTCGTGACTAAGATCCATTTGAGGCAGTTTTCACTTTCACTGAGTGGCTCTTGCATTCCTTTTTTAGAAATTCTCTGGACTTGCTTTTGTGAATGGTAGTTTATGTCAATACTTTCTTCATGAACTCCTGCAATGTATAACATAATTAATTCGAATATATAAAACTTTGCATGATTTCTTAAGTCCTATGAAAAGAGGTAGAGGAAGATTAAAAAGAACAATCAAGGGAGTCATTGAACACGACCTTTTGGTGAACTACATGTCCAAAGAGTGAGTTATTAATAGAGCATAATGACATGACTTGATTCATATAGCCAACTTCAACTAATGTTATAAGACTTGTTGTTCTTGTTGTTGTATATAACGTTGCTTGATTTGTTTAATCTATATGTTCCTGGTGTTATCATTGTATTGATTTTATCGAGATTAGTTGAAATCAATATATTTCATCAAGAATAGGGTGAAGATGAAGTGCTATGACACAACTAGTAATAGTAGTATGACACGAGATGCAGGATTTAGAGATTATATTATCTGTTTTACTGAGATCAGTTGAAATCAATATATTTCATCAAGAATAGGGTGAAGATGAAGTGCTATGACACAACTAGTAACAGTAGTAGTTGTAGTAGATGAGACACGAGATGCAGGGTTTAGAGATTATATTTTCTACTGTAGGCTTCAGGTGTCTACAATGAAAACAGGGGTGAGCTTGTCAATATTCTAGTATCTTCTCTCTTGGTGATATGGGACCGTATCAGTATGACAGAAGTTGTGTTGATCTGTTTCTGAGAAAAGCATCTAACAAGCTGAGCAAGAAGAAAACGAAACTATGGTGGATTTTAAGGGAAAGATTTTGGCTTATATGTAAATGAACGAAGATGATGGCTTAGAGCAGGTAAGCAACTTTTGTAATCCCTTAGTCCACAACATCATACAACTCTAAAATACCAGAAATTATTTCTCATTTTGAAAAGAAAGTCATCTATAAACTCACCGTTTATCGTAGTTGGTGCAATTTCACAAGACTCAAATTTTTCATCTACTGCCAAAGGAGTAGCTAGATGCTGCTTGTCATTAGCGTCCACCGACTTGACATTTCGATACTGCATAATTTGCAACAAGGATTATGTCAGCTTTATTTGCGTTTTATTTTTTGGGAAGGAATCCTATAACTGCTTTGGTTCTTTTATTTATAAGTTGCCAATGAGTGAATCTATTTTAGATGCCAATGAAATTTATCTTACCGAATTATTGGGAACCAAATCTAATAATTCTTGTTCGCCTTGAACTTTCTCACCATAAGAATTGTACAATGTAGGAGAGAGTTCTGCTTTTGGATGTGGTTGTTGTCTCACATTCAATGGTTCAATGATAGATACTGAGTCATTGGAGCTGATGATGCGAGCGTCTGCTTCTTTCAACACGCTGGCCCTTTCTTGCTTAGCTTCCTTTGATAAATTGAACTTATCAGATTCAGATGGTGTTCGTCTCATTTCTTTTAAATTGGGACTCCCCTGTTTCACTTTTGCAGTGCTATGAACCATTGTTCCATTTCTTCTAGTCAGCACCTCCTCAATCTTTTCAGTTGAGTCAGCTTTTTTCTTTCTTATATTCTTCACCTTCTCATTGGCTAGTTTATGAACACTTGTTTGATCCATCATTGTTGTGAAGCCATGCTTCCCTGTAAATGGTTCAGATTGCTGATTTCTTGGAGAGGTAATTTGACCTGGTTTCCTGTTGTTCACTTGTTCCACTTTCACATTGAACTCATTGGATGCTTCATCCTGGTTTAGATCATTATGGTCGTGAACTAGGAAAACTTCTTGTTTCATAACGTCAACATTTTCTGCAGAAGTGTGCTTAAATGGTGTGGCTTGGCTTGTGAGTGTTTGCTTCTTCAGTGAATTGGCCAGGTCATGTGAAAGTTTTGACGAATTTTTCAAAGCTGCTTCGCTCCCTTTTTGTATTCTTAGCTCTAACATATGTTTTTCACGGTGCTGGAGCTGCTTTTCTCTGTGGTGCTGTTCTTCTTGTGGCCCATATTTCAAGAGCGCATAAGGCTTTTGAATTCCAGAGTGATTCTGAGACTTCTTTTGATTGGTTGCTTCCTTCTTGTTCATGTTTTTCTTCACCGGTTGAAGAAAAATACCAATGTCTTCTTTTTCTTCCTGCAATGAAGAGTCAACTTCTGATCTTTCATGACCCCGCTCCAGCTGGGCTAGCATGTTATTTAGAAGCAGATCATTGGTTCTTCCCTTTAATGCCACTTTCTGTTCTCTGTTGGTTGCCTGAACCTGTTTTCTTCCATTGGCATGAACATCCTTTCCACTTTCTCTATTCAGGGTCATTTTATATGAATTGTTATGCTGCTTCTCTACTTTGATGGCTCCGTTGGATGCTTTTATTTCATGCAACTCCCTCCATATCATTTTCCCGTTTTTCACTGCCACCTCAGAGCTTGCTTTTTGGATGATCAAGTTTTCATCTGCACCATACAGCAGCTCCTTTTCCTGTGTTTTAGGCACAATGACAGGTTCTATCCCTTTTTGCTGTTTTGGAGGCACCAAATTCTCTGTTTTTCGGCTCTTCAATTCATTTTTCTTGGCAGAATGCTTGAATGTCGTCCTTTCTATTTTGTGTGGAGAACCTGAATCCTTCTGAGAGGGATTTCCTGATTCCACTTTCTCCGGAATATTATCCAGCCCCATTAACTTGGCTATCACATTTGGAATCCTGGCCTTCTCTGTGTTGGATTTCATTGAAGCTGACTGATTTTTCTGTTCTGAAAGGGCATTGATATTCTTATCATCAGAAATAGAGCTAGTTGATTGCCTGTGGGGAAGCAATTTCGATACGTTAACATCTTGCTTTTCATTGCTCAAGTTTCTTCGTTCTTTAGAGTAAGTAAGAACAAGTGGCCTCTGCGTCAAAGCACTGTTTCCAACCTCTTGAAGCTTATGAGAATTTCTCGAGGACTCGTCAAAGGAGAATCTTGGTGGTGCCAGTTGTCTTTGCTCAGAAGTCATGGTTGTTCTGTCATCGTCATCGTCATCATCATTGTCATCCTCTATAAATGTAATCCGATTTTTCTTCTGTGAGTTCTTCATGGAATCTGAACTTTTCTGCAGGTCTACTAACATCCTCAGAGACTCTTCCAAATCCATAGCTCCTCGTAATAGTTCCTTTGCAAATTCTATCGAGTATCTATCCATGTTAAGATCACCATTGGAGCAGGCTCTCAATATCTGGTTTAACTTCTGTACACCTTTGGATATCTCATTGATCTGCCCAGGAGAGGAAGTAGGGAAGTGATTTGCTGTAGCCAATTGCCTATCCAGATTGCTTCCTCTTCCTATCTTGCTATACTCCATTGTTCCCCGTTTAATCTGGTGAAGGAAACCCATCATTGAGCTAGTGAGAGAAGAATCATCTCTTCTCAGCTTCCCTCCATTATCAAATGCATAAGCCAAGGCAAGGGATATATCACTCAATTGCACTGAGCTCTGACCTCTCCCGTACACTACAATCTGATCCGAAGCTTTTCCATTGTTTGATGTTCTATGGCTTCTGCTGCTAGGCCTAGTCAGCGTGTCCCCGGTTCTGGAAGTAACCTGTGGACGATGACACAATTTCAACAACAGAGTTAAAGCAAATTGCTTTAATGCCGGCTCAGAATATGCAAATGCAGAATAACTTACAGCTTCAATAGCTTTTGCATTCCCGGATCCTCTGTATGTTTGCTTGGAGTAGGCATATGCATCTGTAGAAAGTGTAAAGATTTCAAACTTTTCACATATAGGAATAATGCAATCATAAGCTATCTTGTAGGGCTCATTTGATATACAAAAATAAAATAGAATGAAATGAAAATAGTGATTTTGAAGATAAAAATTATTCTCTTCCTTTTGCCAAAATAAAAATTATTCTCATGTCTGTCTTAGAAGAGTAATAAAAAAAGAATACAAAATGTTCAATAACGACTAGAAAGGCGTGCTAATAAAAAATAGTAATTAGGACATAATAAATGT